ACAGACAACTCCTTTGACAAGATCCATTAAGATTGTTAGTAACTAACTTTGGTATGACTTGCTGTCAGTCTATGCCAAAACTGAGGGAGTGAGTTTAGTTTTACGCCACTTTTAGCAATATTCCGGCAGGGGACAACAGAAATGACTAGCGAACGCTTTAACCACTAAGGCTACCCCACTGCCCCTCAGCGTGACGAGCGAACGCTTTAACCACTAGGCTACCCCACCACCCCTCAGCGTGACGAGCGAACACTTTAACCACTAGGCTACCCCACAGCCCCTCAGCGTGACGAGTGAACGCTTTAACCACTAGGCTACCCCACCACCTCAGCAGTGATGAGCGAACAATTTAACCACTACGCTACCCCACCGCCCCTCAGCGTCCGCGGCGAACACTTTAACCACTAGGCTACCCCACCCCTCAGCGTGACGAAGCTTAACAATTTAACCACTAGGTCACCCCACCGGCCCTCAGCGTGACGAGCGAACACTTTAACCACTAGGCTACCCCACCGCCCCTCAGCGTGACGAGCCAACGCTTAAACCATTAGGCTACCCCACCACCCCTCAGCGTGACGAGTGAACGCTTTAACCAATAGGCTACCCCACCGCCCCTCTATGCCAACAACTCTTTTCAGCCATAATATTGAGCTGAGCACCAGCACATATTGTTATTAAAGTTTTTGGCTGTAACATTGTTGTGTCGACCCCTGACCTTTGTCAAACATTAGCACTATAACAAGCACGATACACTACAGAAGTTCAGTCCAAGCGCTATGCACCAATAACTGTAGATGTCAGGACAGATCCACTCAGTTGATGATGGATCCATTAAGACTTTTGTGAGACTTGTCAGTCTGTGCCAATAACACTTTTATTTTGTTTTGTCTAATCACGCCAAATTGCCACTCTAAAGCATATTTGGTTGAGCTGGGTGTTATCATATGGAATGTTGTGGTAAGCTGAACTGAACTGGACCAAAGTTTCAGTTTAGTACGGTACATACAATAGGTATATAACCCCAGTGATGCATGTCTTACAAGTTTACCACTTTAGTGAAACCCTAAAGCACAGGTATGGTTCTGAGAAACCTGGAAATATGCGAACTGGGTTTCAAACTCACTACCACGTTTTTTGCATGCCCAAGTGTCACAATTCTGCAGAGCTTATTGCAGCACCTTAAACGACTCAGCCACCTGTGTCTTCTCATTCATCTTAACAGTGGCAAAAGAAGGAACGTCTTCCCATCAACTTGGCTGCATGAATGACTGGTGAGGCTACCCCTTTCTGTTGACTGACTGACTGATTTTGGTTTTACGACGTTTTTAGCAATATTCCAGCAACATCACGGCGGGGGACACCAGAAATGTTCCCTTTCTGTTGAAGATACTGGGTATAGTGTGGCTGCCAACTGTGTTTTTTTTCATCAACAGAGAATATGTAGTGGTAGTTACTATGACACCAGCAAATATATGTTGAATAGTCGTGTGTTTACTTCCAGTAGTCTGTAAGCAAGGAATGTAATTGTACTTTGGTCATGAAAACTGTTAAGGGTGTGCTATACAATCTTTTAAGCTATTCCTTGTACCTTGGTATGTTTTTTATTTGTAATGATGATAGTAATTCCATCAATTTATCTGATTTCCAACAAATGAAGAATATATATACATGATACCTCACAGCTTTGAGATAATGAAAATATAGTGTACATGTCAGTCTACAACTTAAGCCACAAGTCCACAGCTTGGGGCTAGTATGATTTTGCTTAGCTAATGAAATATCTCATAACTGTTAAACAATACTGAATATGAGGCAAGTTGAAGCTAGTGTACTCAAATGTTTCTGGCACAGACTGTTCATCCAGGCTATCTTCATGGAATCTTTTGGAAGTTAAGTTCAGAAAAGCATCTGTCATGTCATCCCAACATTAGGACAGGGTCCATTGAATCAAACCTTCCTTTGGTGACTCATAATTAGTCAAACTCACAACATGAACACATAATCCACGTAATCAGCCTTGTGCATGTAATTTACATGTCATTCAACAGACAAACCTCCTTCAAAGTCCCGACAAAATAAAAAGTTGATCATGACATTTGAAAACATCTGGAACAGGCTTAGACTAATTTTGTATGTGATCATGCGACAAGAATGGACAGGACGGATTGAGTATCGTTTCACCAGAAATGGGCTTCAAACATTGTACCTGTGTAGGTTACCGAATGTGGGAATCTGGGCGTGACAATGAACACTTTAACCACAAGGCTACCCCACCACAACTTGACTGACTGACTGACTGAGTTTGGTTTTATGCCGCTTTTAGCAATATTCCAGCAATATCACGGCGGGGGACACCAGATATGGGCTTCACACATTGTACCCATGTGGGGATTCGAACCTGGGTCTTTGGCGTGATGAGCCAACGCTTTAACCACAAGGCTACCCCACCGCCACTTGACAGGAAGTAATGGAAATAAAACTTCTGAACATGAATACAAATGAAACTGATGCAGATGGGGGATGATGAAACTTGGAGCAGGATGGTGCTATAATTTAGAACAAGGGTATAATAGTCCCCGTACTCACTGATGTGAACATTAATCAAACTCTGCATAAAAATATCCTGAAGAGCTTGCTTCAAAAAAGAATATCTGAACACATTCAGTCTTGATGCTATGGCAGAAAGAAATACCACATAAAATGAAGCTAAAAAATTAAATATTTGATAACAAAAAAGAAAGTTGAAAATTTGTACACCACTAAGCTTCAAATATAACACTACCCTAGCATTTGAGTGAGTGTGTTTGGTTACCACTGTCCTGAAAGTACTGAACACCTGAGTGAGAATGAACTGAGTCAGAGAGCAAGACTATACATAATATGCACAGAAATCCTGAGATCGTTGGACATCAACATTGACCACGCCAAAGTAACAGTCATGAATACTGCTTTACACTATCAGCAACATTCCACCAAAGGTTTGGATGCCTATTAACAAAAATCTGGGCTAGATGCCACAAGCATTTAGTAAGCTGTTACAACAAACAAGGGTGCTGAAGATTATTATGCTCTGGAATCCCAAGAAGAGAGCGTTGCAGAAACGGAAGCAGAAAAACACTAGCCACCAAGGTCAAATGAAGAAACCTAATCTTCTGTTTGTCAGTGGAATGCTTCATACCAATAATAGCATGTAAAGTGTGTCATCCATAGGTCTAACAATGCATGTAGAAATGCATGCCTGCTACATAATGTGTCAGGTAAACATAGACAATCTGAATTAAACACAGACATCGTTTATGATAAATACCACCTATTATCTACATTGCTCTAATGAGTTTAAACATATCATAAATTGATTAAGATCAATGTTTGGTAAAATGGATAATAATACAGAAATAGTGAAGAAAATACCACAAAAATCAACAACAGTTTGAAGATGAAAAATTAGCTTGAGGTGAAAACATTTGGAGGAAATATGCTTAAATCCATCCAAGGCGAGAAAATTATCCAGGTTGAATATCCTGTAAATATTTAAGATTCCTAAAATCAACATACAATGTTGTTTGGGGACAAAATGGCCTAATTCCACATCTTCATGAAGGAACACTGTTACTTCAGTTTGGATACAAAGGCTATATCAGAGTTATTTCCCCTTCACCATACCTTCAATGTTAACTTTCCTATTACAGCCACGGAAACCCTGATTAGTGAGTGAGTTTAGTTTTACGCAGCACTCAGCAATATTCCAGCTATATGGTGGCGGTCTGTGGACCAGACAATCCAGTGATCAACAGCCTGAACATCGACTGCGCAAGTGGGAACCGATGACATGTGTCAACCAAGCCAGCGAGCCTGACTACCCAATCCCATTAGTCGCATCTTACGACAAGCATGGGTTACTGAAGATCAATTCTAACCCGGATCTTCACAGGTCAGGCAATGTTCACACAGTTAGTAGGCTGTCAATCCTTGATCCTCTCTGCAATATTATAGTTCCTCAGAAAACCTTTACAATAGCACTATTTTAGCATTTAGCTTTCTTAAGCAAATACATTGTCATATAGAGCTTGCTATTTGTGAATTTGGAGGGACTTTCTAAATTAATTGTCGTAACCTCTGTAGACATATGATTATGTTCATCATAACCATCTTTTACTGTAATTCATATGCTCACAGTCAAGGCAAGGGAAATATTTTGAGAGTCTTCACTTAATTAGGGACCATTCAAAATTTATGGCTTGGGGGGTGGTGGGGGTGGGGGTGTGATGATGATTTTACGTGGGGGTCACCCATTTTGTTCTTGGGAGGTAGGGGGTCATCAATTATGTACACGTGTGGTGTGGTGTGGTGTGGTGTGGTGTGGTGTGGTGTGGTGTGAGAGAGAGAGAGTGTGAGTGATCCATGGACATCTTACAATAGATTCTTTAGAGAGTAATTAAAAAATTAGTAGATGCCAATTAATTATGGGCTTGACATATTGTACCCATTTCTGGAATTAAACCACTGGGTTACCTCACTGACCCCCATTTACATAGCAACATACATGTAACATCACAGCACTGTTACAGGCAATAAATACACACTCGGAAATGGTTTGTTATCAACCAGAAAAAGCAAACAAAGCTCTCGACGCTGCATGTCCTGATCACAATGATCTTGTGTTTTTATATCAATGCCATACTCTGGTCACACATTATAGTTACAACACACAAGCCTGGATGTCAGTTCTCCATGAACATTCACAGGAGTCTCAGCCAGGGAAACACATTCTGCCATGACGTAAAGGAAGGATGTGACTCAAATTCTCTCCATTCCACATCTCAACACAAACTGTAAAAAATCCCATATTTTTACAGCTACTATTTCCTTGGCGATGCTTAGTTACAGCAGTCATAGCACTTCAATCAGTATGTGGACTGTGTGCCCAAGACCTCGTTCCACTCTCCTCGAAGGTCAGTATCATAAATAAGCTTACTATGCAATAAAACATCTCCACCTACCTTCGTTTATTTGGCGGCCCCTTCGTCTGTATAATGTCTTCATTCATTTCCTCAGCTCTCGATCGCAACTAAATAAACAAAGTATGGATTGTTACAAGAAGCCTTGACGGTTTGTCATCTGCCAGATCAACACAATGTCATACACAGAGCAGTTGGAGACGACAACAATTACCTGGGATGACAAGCTTACAAATGCTGTAAGATACTATATCGAGACTTCTATGACACTGTTTATTCTGTCAGCACTATCACAGCCACATCAGAGTTAGGTCTGGATGAGGCAGACCATGTTTAAAAGTGAGTGAGTGAGTGAGTTTAGTTTTACCCCACACTCAGCAATATGGCGGCGGTCTGTAAATAATCAAGTCTGGACCAGACAATCTAGTGATCAACAGCATGAGCATCGAATTACGCAATTGAGATACGATGACATGTGTCATCAATTCTAACCCGGATCTTCACAGGTTCATGTTTAGAAAGCATGGTTGCCAGGTCATCCCGACCTGATCCTCATTAGTTGGATCTTTCAGTAAGCATGGGATTCGGGACACACATTAGTCCTAAAATCCTATGTAAACAGTTGAGTTGCTGTCTCTAATGCTACTATATATTTTACTTCTTTGATGAAAGAGCCAATAATCATTGTCCTTATACATTTACATATCAACTTCAAACCATGAATAGAATAAATTTTGAGGGCCAACCAATGACCATGCTGTTATTTCAAAGCATGGGGACTCAAGTGTCTCCACTCCTGTTGAAGTAAACACGGACCATGATCTAGAAGCTCCAGGTCCAATGTTAATTCTGGAAGAATTTGACTAATCACAGAAGTTTTTAAATCCCGATCAACACCAAACACCCATCTTTAACTGTTAATGAAATCACACAAGGAATTACCCCTACAAGATGGTGACTACTATCCAGTTCCTAACCCTGCCAAAAGAGCATACCCCATGCTCAGAACTTACCAGAACCTGCTTCTTCTTCAGATCTTCCAGGAATTTCTTCATGTCCTCATCAGCTACATCCAAAGCAGACTGACCCTACAGAAAACAATCAATCTTGTCATTCACGTCTTTCAACTTAATTGTAGCATGTGTAAAATTAGAATGACAGTAAAACTTCCCAGGAAAATAGATAAGAGCAGTGAAAAAATGCTAGTCATTTTCTGTTATGAAAAGTCATGAGTAACTAGTAGTCAAAAGACAATTCTATCAACAAAACAGCACCTTTCTCTTAGTACACTATTTTTACTGAAAAATCATCTACAATTCATTTGACATGGAAACATCATTCATTATCATCCCTCAACCCCAATTAGACTCTCCTTCATGGTGGTTCCAGCAGGTAGAAGCCCTAAATCATTAGCAAGTAATAGCATTGTTAGACGTGTGATAGCTTTTTGTCAGGCACTCAAGGGGCCATAACTTATACAGACAAGCAGGAGTTATCTCCCTTGAACTATTCCCTCCAGACATCCAGATGTTAGGAACACTCTTGGTCAACTGACATTATTATTATGTTTTCCCAGGAAATGTTCTGTTCCTTTTACAGATCATCAGTTTAAAGTCTCTTCTGATCAAATATCTTTAATGGCACTTACTTTACTAAAAACATATATCACTTGCATTGTATCACTTGAAAAACAGCACTGTATTAACTACTGAAAACACTTTAAGCGTGAAACTTCCAAGGCAAAGACAGAATATATTTTTGATGAGGCACAAAGCATGTCTAAAACATACCAACAAACATAACTAACAAATCACACACTATCAAGTCCACAGTATCCCTGGTACAAGAAAACCCAGCCTCTGTACCAACAATTTAGCATTTCCAACACTAGTGAGTGAGTGACTGAGTTTGGTTTTATGCCGCTTTTGGCAATATTCCAGCAATATCATGCCTGGGGACACGAGAAATTCTGGCTCCTGAACATGAAAACCTTTCCTGTAAACTTACTGCTGTGTTCTTCTTCTCCATGTCACAGAGCTGTTCCACTAGCAACTGGCACGCCTCACACTGCGCCCAGTGGGCGGCAGCATGCAGCGGCGTCCACCCGTCATTGTCTTCCGCATTGATGTCTACACCCGCCTGTAGTAGAACCCTGCAACATATCAATCATACGTGGAACTGATGGCCAAAACACTGATGTTGTTTATAAACTACCAGATAATGGTCTTTTGGCGATATGAACATACAATGAAAGTCTGTTTCTGCTCAATCCTTAACTCAATATATTGTGTGAGATGACACAGCTTCAGAACCCCTCAGGCACAAAGACATAATTACAGCAATCTGTTTCTCTGGAACACTGGCTAACTTGATTCATTAATTATGGCTCCAAGGAGATCTGAGATCATCATACAATATTACATGGAGGTAACACCTACTGTGTACACAAAATCCCAAACTGCACTAATTTCACAGAACACTGTGTATTGTCACAGAACATATATTTTTTTTCCATATAAGTTCCAGTCCTAACTCTACCCAAAGGACAAGTGAAAATTACTCAACACAGTAAACACTATTCCACTAAAAGAAGCCTGTATATAATCGGGGCCAGGAAACCAGTGCCTGAAAGCATGACCACATCATCAGGGTAAGATGACATGCAATGACAGAGCCTCAGCCTGACCAACCCATTCCCTCGTACAAGCAGACGACACTAGAGACCTGTTCTGCCCCGACTCCCGTGGGGAGTGACCCTGCAACCTACTTGAGAACTGTTACATATCCCTTGGCAGCAGCCACATGGAGAGCTGTGGCACCAGTCTTGGCATGTTTCTTCTCTTTGATGATGCGACTGTTGAGCCACTGGTTGGCGTCGGCTAACATCCGGTTCTCTTCTTCCTTTCTTGCCTCGTCTGCATCAATACCTGGAACACAAAATATGGTTACTGACAGCCAATGATTCTACAGGCCTCATTTCTCTCTCAGATGGACGGAACAATAACTTTACATTGCTTGAGATTTCCTGTTCACTAGTTTGTAAAAATGATCAAAAGTTTGAGTCAATCATAATGTTGGAGGAAAACCCAGAGTGTTCAAGTCACTGACTAGTGGCCTCGGTCAAATGCTGTGAGAGAGACGTCATCTTTACATTTGATTGTCTACTGAACTTCATATTTACAGCAAAGCAACATTTATCTATTATTTTCAGACTGGGGTGAGTAAGTGAGTCTTACTCCATTTTTAGAAATATTCCAGCAATATCAGGACGGAGACACCAGAAATGGGATCACACACTGTACCCATGTGTGGAATTGAACCCGGGTCTTCAGCATGACGAGCGAATGCTTTAACCACTAGGCTACCCCACCGCCCTTTTTCAGACTAGAATACTGTGAGCTTGTTATGTATATCCTACTACGTTACCTTGTTTGTCTAGTTCTGCCTGTAGTAGATTCTCCATCTCCTCGTCTTCACAGATGTCTATGGGAAGGTCCCCATCATTGTTGACTGCTGCAATGTTAGCCCCCATCTTGATCAGGTACCTGGAAACAGCCAACACGCCATCAACTCACACCATACACCTGGGCCCAGGTTCACAAATGACTGAAGTGCTGCAAATATCTACCTCTTATACTTTAACACAGACTTATGACAAATGTAGTACTATAACAGAACCTTGCAGCAAAAGTAGATGTTTGAGTTAGTTGGCTTTAAAACCATGTAAGGAAATACTGTTACCTATTCATATAGCTAAACACTTGAGATTTTTATCAACATAAACCACTCAGCCATATATGCACCACACCGACATCTGTATTCTGCCTTATGACTGGAAAACTCAAGGATGTAGATAGCCAGAGCCCTGTAACAACCTGTGCAAGTCAGCCACATAACTTTTACAGGCACTATGATGTCATAATGTGACATGGCATCATATGATTGTAATATCACAACCAACACTCCTGGTCCTTCAAGTTACCATACTGAAGGTTTAACCACAATCCAGTGGGGCTGCTTGCACAGAGTAATCCTAGTGTTACGAGTATCTTACGTCTATGTTACGATCATCGTAGCAGTAAGATCGCTTTGTGCAACTAGACCTTGGTCCTTCCAAGTTACCATACTGAAGGTTTGACTGCAATCCAGTGACAGAAAGCATGCGCAATGGTCACCATCAGGATCAATAACGGTCATGAAACCAGTCAGTCCCAAACAGGCATGAGACAGCCTAATGAAATGATCACTGTCCAAATACCTTGCAATTTCTGTGAAGCCACACGATGCTGTTGCATGTAGCGGTGTCCAGCCTTCATTGTCACAGACATCCACATCTGCCACCTTCTCAACAAGGAACTCCACCATTTCCAGGTTGTCATCGATACACGCCTGCAACAGAAAAACAGCACTGAATAAATGTCATCTATACATGCCTTCAACACAAAAATCATACTGTATAAGTGCCATGGATACACCAACAAAAGCATTGACAATGGGTATTTATCTTCAACATATGCCTACAAATGAAACATTTGTCTTCGATACCCACCTACAGCTGAAACATCAATCGGGTATTTGTAAATTCGATACCCACCTACAACTGAAACACCAATCGGGTATTTGTAAATTCGATACCCACCTACAACTGACAACAATCGATACATGTCTAAACCAAAATTCAAACTGTGTATTTGTCATAGACAGTCAAATTGCCTACACCACAAACACAATATACACTGACTTCATTCTGAGCCGCTAGTTCTACTGTTCCACTGTCTGGATTGTTTGGGAGACACAACTTAACAAATGCCTCCGACATCTATGCACGGTCACAAACAACTGACAATGATCATGATGTCATCTATTACTATTCATTGAATTGTGTTTATACAATGCCCTGCGAACAATAGACTGAGCTAAAGTCAGTCTCCTTACATTATCACAGAAACGTGTCTTCAAAACATGATGATCATTGTTACACAAATACTAGTAACCCTTCTAATCACAAATTGTCTTGAGTCATTTCCTGGTAATTTTTGGAAGGTTAGGAATCAATAATCAAAGCAACCGCTCTGTCTGTATGCACACCAGTGAATCTTTGTATATACATAATTATATACTTAAGATCATAGGGTCACGAATTATTTTTCCGCTGTTTGAACTTTCCTATCCACGTTGCTATGGCAGTAACAGTGATTGATGAAGTCCATAGATTGATATCCCTCACACAAATAGCCTCAGCTCCTCTCTTCCTGTCATACTGGTCTTCAATCATTTCTAAATATATGACACCCATGACCTCACACACAACTAACCAGTTTGTACCTCAAAAAATCTATCAATTATATAAATCATCTTCCATTTTTTCATACGCTGTCTTGTGATACGTTAAATCTATGTAGGTATTCAAGTTGTGATTTGGAAAGGATTAATCCATTATTACAAAGCACTGTGTATGTCAACTTATTTACATGGATATATTCATATATTATTATACAGTATATTTCTCAAACCCCTTTCAAATAACTACCCACTGAACATAATATTTCTTTAAATTTAGTTTCCACTTGCACACATGAAATCTAAGCATTCATGACATTTTGTACTTCAGAACTCTTTCATGGTCCTATTCAAAACTGCAATTTTAGCACACACTGACAATTAAACAAAACAAGGGCTGATAACATATTGCTAATAACATACAGCTTGAATATCATTCAGGGAAAGTTTAGAACAAAAACTATCGATCAGACATGGTACTCTGTTGCTTATTCTATTTCAGCACAATGCCAGGAGTATATCATTTATCTATTAGTTGCAGCAAATTCCAAAATGAATTTTAACAAGGACTGTACTCCAGAATGTTTGTAATACAATAGGATTCATGGTAAGTGACAGTACTCTAACACCAAGGTCATCAGAGCACCATGGCATCAGTGACTTATTGGGGAATCAATCCTAGGTTCGGCAGTGACATATACACATACAAAGGTCTGTGTGTCAATATCATACACTGGTAAGCCCAAAACTTTACCAACAACCCACCACCAATCATCTTTGGATATACTGAATTCTGCAAGACCAAAAGCTGTAACTACACATTCTCATTAAAATAGGATCTTTCACTGAAGTCCAATATCTCTCTCCATAAAGACACCGCAAATTCTCTTGAGGTCATATAAAACAAACAGGTCTAGACCAGACAATCCTGTGATTGATATTATGAGAAATGGTCTCTGGCGGCAGGTCATGATGACATGCAATCAACTATGTCACACAGTCTGACACAAAGTCCATAAAGTTGCCTCTTACAACAAGCAAAGATTGCTCAGGGTCTCTCTACCCACAGGAATTGCTACAGGAAGTCCAACAAAGAGTGAGTGAGTTTAGTTTAATGCCGCTTCTAGCAACATTCCAGTAATATCATGGCGGGGGACACCAGTTATGGGCTTAACACATTGTACCCATGTGGGAAACGAACCCGGGTCTTCGGTGTGACAAGCGAACGCTTCAACCACTGGGCTACCCTACTGCCCCTCCAACAAAGAAGTAGTTTAAGCAATGACATCTACATTAACTCCAACATAGATACATCATCATCCATCCTCGTAGCCAGGTCAACAGGGTCAGACAGCAGCAAATTGAAGCAAATTCTTGTTTTATCCTACACAATGAAAACCACTTCAAAAGGCCACTCTTGAAATGTCTGTAAATACAGGTCCATATCCCACCTGTTACTGATGCATACATAATATTGACATCAATTACAACTTAAATTTTATGATAATATTTACATTTCCTATCTTGTTCCATTAATCAAACTTCAAAGACGAAAATATGATAGGAAAAATCTATCATCTATTACAATAGCGTATACAATGTTGACCAGATTGTAATTACTCAGTATTGACAGCTCTGCACCTGCACTACGGCGGAGAGTGTGTGCCATGCACTCTGGCAGCCATATCATCATGTCAGAGGACCCTGAATCAATATCTGGCATTACATCATTGCCGAGATGAGGACTTGTTGGCAAGTCAGTAGGAACAAGTCCACGATTCAACAGGATTCAACACCCAGTATCAATATGGGTAGCCTCAGTAGAGTTCATGTCATGCCTCAGTACATCGTGACAAAACATCAAGATTACATGTGGTTGTATTGAGAGTGAGTGAGTGAGTTTAGTTTTACTCCGCTTTTGGCAATATTCGAGCAATATCACGGCGGGGACACCAGAAATGGACTCCACATATTGTACCCATGTGGGGAATCGAACCAGGGCCTTCGGCGTGACGAGCGAACACTTTAACCACCAGGCTACCCCAATGCCAGGTTATATTAAAAACTAGGCATATTAAACAGAAACTAAAACTCCCTATGCTGTAACCACGGTAACATATCTGCAAAAATAAATAAACTATTTCACCTATGATTACATTACTCAAATCTTTGTGTTAGAAATAAAGTGTCATTTTCTCTGCCAGGTGCCTAGTTAGGTACTGAACTGTAATTACCTACCTAGTCTATATGACTAATAATATTTTTACCTGTAAGTGATGTATTGAAAAAACATTCTATTATCGCTCCTCATGAATGGCAAATACCATACATAAAGATACTTTCACAAATAAAAAAAGAATGACTAAAATATTTCAATCCACCACTGCTTGTTTCATCACTGTACATTCTTGCACAGCCTGCAAACACAAAGCAACAGGACTGATACCAAGAGGTATAATAGCCTGAAATTAAGTCTAACATTAACCCAGTTTGAATAGGTTAAACATCTCAACTTATTGTATCACCATGATAAGCAACTATTGTGTCGAAGTGTACACAATCTCCCAAATCATAAGTCCCAATGTTTGGAAAGCCCTGTATGTAGTGAGTCACATAACTAACCTACACAGACATTTACAAGTAAGTTAGTACCCAGTAGCACATCCATTAAATTCCTTAATGTCAAAAAGCAATGAAGAGTTTTGTGAAAACATAAAGGTGATATCGTTCCTTGTATTTATCTAATTCCAAATTTCATTTTGTTCTGCCGCACTGTAAACTGTAAAACCATGTAAGTAGTGTGCACTGGGTGACCCGGAGATAGGAGCAGATTGATAGGCCTCGTCCTGTGTGTGGGAGAGGGGAAATAGGGGAAACAATATACCACTATCATGGTTTGTGTGTTAATCTTACACAAACATATCAGCTCTAGGGCAGACACTTACAATCAATTGACTAACCAATCAATCAATGTTATTGTTTCAAGGTCAATTGACCTATAATCTGTACAATCGTAACAGTACACTTGCGCAGCACGTGAATATTTACATCATTCACACAAATTTTTTCTATCATGAATTATAACATGATTAATGCCTGTAGTTATGATACTGTGATTTTGTAGGAGAAAAAAGGCTGCTGAAATATTCAATTATTTTATCATCTTTTGACGGCAAATTCTTCTCTATTTAAGATGATTTAACAAAAACATCTACTTAAGGACAAATGACTCGATATCCCAGAAAACCAACTAATCAGAATTCTTTTTTTTAAATACAAGTGATAAATAAGAATACAAATTAGAATAAAACTACACATCTGTTAAAGTGTTCATGTTCCACAGAAACAGGTTAAAATCAGTACATTCTTGACTTTCAGATACCTTATTTCTTAGCTGTTTCTCTCATCAGGTAAACAAATCTTCTGACCTCATACTATTCCATGATACACCAAACTGTTGCCGGTAGTATCCTGGGAGATTATCTCAGTCCCAGTGATAAGAAAACATACCGGTACTGCTTTTCCATTACCCTTAATAAAACAACAAACAAACAAACAAAATATTTATCTTAATCAAGTTAATAGGTGTGTTAATATAAGAGCAATAAACGGCGGAACACAGAAGATGAATTTAACTATTTTTCTACAAAAACATACTGAAGAACGTTCTCCTGAATACCTATGATTGTAACCAGCTTATAACAATTCCTCGTACAGGAAGGACATGAAATGTGTCAGCAGAATGTAGAAACATGTAGGTCTAGTGTTGTGGTCTGGGGGATAGTGGGATCTACTTCAACAACAACGAACCCTATACTACAACACTGCAGTCACAGTGGAATTTCCTTCTTACTCATCACTAAAGCTGATGGGTAAAGTCTGACTCTCCTCCATGTTGAAGGGAGGTGGGCGTTCACAGTGCTCCTGGGGTCTAGTTTATGGATCCTATGGTATCTTTACACTTGGCCGTCTCTGATGCAACAGTTGTAATGTTGGGGTGTGAACAAGCAGAGTCAGCACTGTATTCTAGTTCCCTCACTGATACAGGAGGGATAGAGATTAACCTTGAGCGTCTTCTAGCTGGCATAGTGGCAACAAGGGGCACTGTC